TAAATGAACATTTGCACGATATTCTAATTTTTCAAGTTTCACCTGTAGGTGTATCCATAGCATTTTCTCAAAACTCAGAATGCTTTTTCTCCCAAAGAGGTAATTAAGTAATATAAAATCAGTCATTGCGTGCACACACACACACATCTTAATGCAACAGATTTAATAAATAGGGGAAATCTTAATGCAGCAGATTCAATAAATTGGGGAGATCAAGTTTCAGAAAGCAAGATGATGTTAAATGAGGAAGTCTTTATGAATGCATATGTGTGTGGTCCCATCTCCCCCCAGTTTAACGGAATCAACTTGCGGAATGCTACAGAACAACAAGCTCGGCTGATCATGGGGCAGCAGTGTGATACCATAACTATTCTGGCACAGTACAACCCCCACATGTTCCAGCTGGGCAATCATTCACGATCAAGGTAAGCTTCAACCTTGTCCAGGAGGGTCTGTATCCTGTGAAGAACTTTTTTCCAGGGTTGTGTTTGAACTGGAGACCAAGACACCATTGCCTTGAAGCACCAGTTGATTTATTGACAGATTGTAGTACCAGGATGAGGAAGCCTAAAGAGGGGTGGAGCTACAAGCCCTCTTTATAGACTTATGCAAATGATCCTTTTATTTTATCAGTTACAGAATAGATAGCAGATAGTCCCCCAAAGGAATATAATGTTCAATGTGGGTGATAAGGTTAATTCATATACTTTTTGAATGGGTTATAAAGGGTGGAGAGGCTGAGGTAATATATTCCCTATACAATGGTTCCTTTGGATTGAACAAAGAGGTCTAAGAAGTGCATTGGAAATGGTTATTTTATCACAGCCTCTGTCTAAAAAACCTTGAGTTCTCAGTGTTAATTGGTCATTCGTTGTGGCTAGGCTTGCATTTCTGCAATTAGCACTTCCTTTTAGCTTATTATATTCTGTGCACCTGATTGCTTTCTAGCTGAACCAGTGACATTGTGTTGTGCAGAAAAAAATATGTGTGGGTCAGGGTCTTGATTTGGACTTGTCAGTTTTGCCCTACAACATCACACCAAATGGCAGCTTCTGCTTAACAGTGGTTAAGCATCCAGATCTCTTAATTTTTACGACTCTGAAAACTCAGCTTTGTAAGTTTCCTTCCACCTCCAAGATAACTAATTAACTTTGATTAACTATAAAAAGAGTCACTTTATGTGAGATGGGCGGCTATGTAAATATGATAAACAAACAAACTAGCTGCCAAGGCTGATTATGTTTTGCCAGTTGAGACATCACTTTAAAGCATAATTTTAGTGTCTGAATGGAGCTTTTCTGAAAGTTCATGATGTTTCTGCAAATAGAGTAACTTGGCCTCTCACATTGTTCTGGAAAAGAACAGATTGTCACCTACAGTCCCCCCATTTTTGCATTGCTGAAGCTTTTCTGACCATGGATACCCTAATTGGGCTTTGGTGGGGGAAAATCCCCCAAAACAGTAGTGCAAGTCCTAATGTGGGCTTAAGATAGAGGAAGAAGAAAATGGAAGACATTTGCTCTTTCCTGTACTACCCCATCATTATTTTAGCTAAAAAACATTACTCACTTTGGAACACTTTTTCCCAGGGGTATGTTTCAACTGGAGACCAGGAAAAAGCTGGGTACATTTGAACTTAACCCAGAAAAAGCAAGGTATATCCGTTTTTAAAAAACCAGTTGTAGCATCTGCTGATCAGCTGAAGTTCAGGGAGCAGAGGCAACCATTAAAAGCCAACTGTGCAATATTTAATTCTCACTTTGTGACTGTAGTTATTCTTTGTTGGGAAAACTCTTGCTTGAAATTGAAAGAAATTGTCTTCCTTAGTCTCTTTGCAAGGATTCTGGGGTAGACTAAACAACAGTTTCATTTAAAATTCAGAGGCTCTAAGATTTCAAGGACCATTTAGATACCAAAAGTTATGCCGATCTTGAAAGGTGTTGCATTTTAATCACCTTTTAACTCACCTCTCTTATTGCTCCCTTCTTTCCTTTAAGCTCCCGTCTGGAACCTGTGAGTACTCATTCCACTCCACAAGGCAGTGGAACTCCAACCCCTGACAGCCATTCCATAATTGATACTGTGAGTGAACAAGATGAAGGGACCATGACTCCTCCATCCAAGGAGACCACTCCAACCACCAGTCCCCGCAATTCAGTTAGGTAAGCTGCTTCCCAATTCAAGAACAGACAGCACTTATTTCAGCAGGAACTCATCTTTGAACTTGTATTTCTGTCATTTAGCAGAGCCTTCCCCAGTGGTATGTCCATCTTATGTTTGGGACTATTAGTCTCTCTGTCTTTTCCATTAACCATGCTGGCTGGGCTGAGAAGACTATACCCAAAATTTCTGGAGGGCAGCAGGTTGAGAAGGGCTGATTCTAGAGGAGGAATGGGAAAACTTTTCCTGATAGCCCTATTTGGCTGATGATTATGCAGTGTCACAAGAGTGAGGTGAAATTTCTGGACCATTATTCAGTTTAAGAGGTGCAGTTGGTGTCTTATGCCTTGCAGAATAATAATCATGTTGCCCTTTAATCCCTAAAATGAGAAGATCTGCTTGATCTCTCTCCCTCCCTCTCTCTCTCTCTCTCTGTTGGGGGTGTTTAAAGGGTGCTGTGATGGTCTTTATCATCTGCAGGACCTACAGCCCCCATTTTGCCATATGAAATGAAAATCTGCAAATAAAAAAAAGAAAAAGTTTTGGTCCTACTTGCTCTGGGAACACAAATGGACAGTTTGGAGGTGGAGGGCACAAACAGGTGATGAAGTGTTTGAAATGAAAAGAACCTACCTTTACAGGTATTCTGGGCAAGGGTCAAGGGCAAGAGTTGAGTTTTCATGTGGAGCCTGACATCCAACTCTTGAGTGAGGAACAGTTCATTCCTGGCCTAAGGCTCTCAAATCCAACCATTGGAACATCCTTTTGTCTTTATCCCTCTCCTCCAGAAAGGATTAGGGGAGTAGTAGCCAAGGAGGATTAGTTTTACCAACAGGCCTTGAGTCTTTGTCTCTTGTTGTTAAAAGGAGTTCTGCTGACATGATTAAAAGGACACCCGAACCTAGAACAGTTAATATCAAGAAATCCCAAGTGGAGCTTGGAATCCAAATTGGTGGTGGAAACATGTATGGAATATTTGTCTCTGATCTAGAAGATGAGAGCCCAGCAAAAGGACCTGAAGGCCTAATGCCAGGAGATCTAATACTGGAGGTATACTGTCAATATCAAAAGGAGAGGTACCAAGAGGGGCAAAATAAGTTCCAAAGGCCATAAAAGGAGGGTGGTGATGTGAGCTAGGTAGACACCTGTCACATAAATGGGCTTGGTTTGTTTGTTTGTTTAACCACAGTTTTGGACTATTCTGACCATTTTAAACAGCTGTGTTCTGAGTCTTGGAGGAGAAGATTCCAGGAACCACTTAGAACAGGATACTGCAGAGTCCTATCTCAGAAGCCACATGTCATCATGCAAATGACACAAGTTGTCTAATTCCCTCAGTCATGACAGAACTGTGGCATGATGACACCAGTTGTGCTATATCACTTGTACCCCATAACCATACATCTCCATGTGGCCATGGAGAGCCCATATCTCATATAAAATAAAAACAGGTAGTTTTAAAAGCATTGTAAAATCCATGACTGTAGAACTCATTGTCTGTGTGGAAGTTTATGCTTCTGTCTGGGATTCATCACAAGTCTGGGGACATTAACTTATTTAATCAAACTGTAGGGAAGATTAATTTCAGGTCATAGGGTATTGGATAACACAGTTAGCTGCAGTTAACCTGAAATAGGAACAGAAGGCTCTGGTTTCCCCCCTGCAGCTGTAACCAGACTCATGAGCTCAAGGGAAGTTAAATTCCTGTAATATTATCTTCTGTTAAGGGTGCATTTTTTTTTTTAAATAACACATTCAGTTTATTTCCTTTTAAGCATTAGATTAGATATGTGTATTTTTCCTCTTTGCTGATTCTAGCTAAGCTACAATTTTATGTAACTGAGTTTTCCAACTTACTGCTTCAAGGGAAAAAACCCCCAATCCTCTTCAGGAACCCAGAATCACGAGTAAAGAAACAACTCTTTCAATTCCATAATTTGTCCATTTAAATCATTCCTTCACATTTGTCTTCGTGGAGATGAAATTTCCGGATGGAGGATGCAATTTGAGTGGCTAAATTAGAATGGATAAAACACTTGTTCACTTTTCTTCTACCTTATTCCCAAAGGAGTTAGCCATTCACTCAGGCTTCCTCCATTCTGTTGGTGCTTTTGAAGAGGAAATGAAGATCCATCAGAAAAAGGATCTTGTAGATTCACCTGATGTGTAATTACTCTTCCGTAAAATACCGATGAAGAGATTTGAATTAGGCTTGGTCAGGAGATATGTGCTTGAGATCAGAATATTGAAGCTGAAACTTGGTGACTTTTTTATGTCACCGAACAAGATTAGTGTAAGTACCAATTTTGATTGGTAATGAAATTCAGAAGCAACACTTAAACACATGGTATTGTTTTATTTTTATTTTATTTTTTTACAGTATGGATCTGTTGACATGCAAAATAAAACAGCAGAGGAAGCTTACCTTGAAATGCTCAAACCAGGTGAAAACATTAGAATAAAAGCTCAGTACAGAATCGAAGAATTCAACAAGATCAAAGATTTACCTGGAGATGGTTTCTTCGTCAGGTACTTAAAATTTCATGTAGTAACTTCATCAACTATTATGGGCTGGTTACTTACACAAACTTTTCTTTATGGCTTGCTGCTGAAAGTGCAGATAAGCTCAGCCATATGAGTTTTAAGTTACTGCAGCAACTTCATTGGGTCATTTGTACAGGTAAGGAATTTCATGCTATAGTAGGAAGGCAGTGCCACTTAGCTAAATGACCTACTTACTTAAGTAATATCAAACATTTGAGGTGATTAAATCAAACTGCATTAGTAGTAATTTTATACTTCATTCTCCACTGGTAATTCAGTTTCCTGCATTACCTGCAAAATGTAGAACCTAGGAATAAAGATTTTTGAAGCAGGGACATTTTTTAAAATTTCCTGTTGAATCCCAGCCCTCTTAAGTCTTTTCAAAGTTTTTTTTCCCCCTAAGGTTTTTTTTTCCCTTTCCTTCCAGCAGTTCTGAGTCATTGTTTGTTCTCGCACTTGTTTCAGTGGGAGAAAAAATGCCTCTGCCAGGCTGAAGTTGAAAAGATGAAGGGACCCAGTCCCAAAACCTTGCTGGGGAACAGAGATGGGTTCAAAATTTCCCCTAGAATAGGGGCTTGGAAACTTTTCAAGACAAGGAAGCTGCTAGTTTAAAAAAAAAAAAAACACCGCCACCACAAACAAAACAATACTTGAACCCCTGATCAAGAAAATTAGTTGTGTTCAAGTTAATCTCCCCCTCTCCCATATCTCTCATGGAACCCAATTGAGATCTTGCAGAACCCCAAGGTTCTGGGGATTCCCGTTTGAAAAACCCTGCTGTAGAATGTCAAATGTTGGGAGTTTCTGCTAATTCCTACTCATAGGAATGTTGTTAGCAGTAACTTCATATTCATGGGATAGAGATCTCAGCAACCTTGACTCTCTCCAATCAACAGATCTTGAGGTTTTGATTCTTCTCTTTGTAATTGTGCAAAACCCTTGCATTTCTCACAAGTGCCATGACTACATCTCCATTGATTTGGGAAATAAATATATTTTAAAAACTCACTGTCACCACCCCAACATGATTTGGGACTTCCTTTCCCAAGGATCTAGGATATTGTCATGATTTGTTGTTGTTGTTGTTGTTGTTGTTAATTTTAAACAGAAAAGAAGATAGCAAAGAAAAAAGATTAAAATATGATTCAGTAAATCTGTGATAATTTTTTTTCTCAAGTGGCCCGACGTAAATTTTTGTCTTAACCACAGATTTCAGTATGTTGAAGGTCACTTCTTTTTCTCCAAGTCAGCAGGGATGGCTGTGGGTGACGTGCAAAACAGGAGGTCCTAACTTTTCATCCCGTAATATCTGGAATAATCTGAAAAGGATGCATGGTAATCTCTCTCTCCTTGCAGGGCCCTCTATGACCGACTAGCAGAGGTTGAGCAGGACTTAAGCTTCAAAAAAGATGACATTTTGTATGTCGATGACACTCTGCCACAAGGGAACTTTGGCTGTTGGATGGCATGGCAGCTGGATGAAAATGCCCAGAAGCTGGAAAGAGGACAGATTCCCAGCAAATACATGTAATTCCACCCTAGCGATTTCAATGAGATCTATGGAATTGCTCAAATGAAGCAATTTCAAAGAAGTAAAAATAAAGCTGAGCATTTCACTCTTCAAAGCTTGGTTGGGGGGAGCAATATCCAGTTTCCCACCATGGCTGGTGGAAAGACTTTTAAAGCCATTCAGTTAAAGAAGCTATTCCAGCAAGTCATGTTGATGATGTTGGCAGTTTCCCCCTTCCTAAAAATGGAAAGGACTTTATTTTCTGATTCAGATGGAAGCCACACCAACATCCCCCTAATAATGCTGTGGCATGTTCTCCATGGCAATGGCATCTGTACTTAATTTGGATCATTAGGTAGGGACACTTCCTTCCTTAATCCACTAAATTAGTGCTTGGTTTTTCAAAGATCAGGAAGATCAAGATCAAGGGAAGAAGCAGCCACTACTGCCTAAATTAAAAGCCTGACATCATGCCATTTAATTGGCAACCAGGGTGTCTCATTTCTGGCTGCTGACTTACCCTTTTTGCTGTTTGCACCACATCAGGTCTTTCCTTGGGGAATCACCCATCCCAATTCTGCAACTGGGCCTTTTTATGAGTCTGGGTGTTACTAGAGCTGGTAAACAGTCCAAACGCTCTGACCAGATAAGGCAATGATCTACGTATGTTGCCGCAAAATCAGTGTCCTAAAAAAATGGAATTAGTGCAGAATTGGATGGAGCGTCCTGAGTTCACTCCTGTCTGGATTAAAGTGCAAATAGGTTGAAACACATAATCTGCTCTAATGGTTTCCTGTCTTCCATGAACCTTTGCCCAATACCTGTCATTGGATGACAGTGGGTGAAGCTCATTGTCTATCCCTACTCTCCCTAAATGCTACAACAGCCTGTGTTGCTGTACCCTACACAAAAGAACGTTTAGTACAAGTAAACAAGATGAGGAAAGTGTTTTTCAGGGACATTTGCCCACATTACTGATCTTCACCCTAAAGCACTCAGAGATTCAGCAGAATATAATTTTAAAACTAGTGTGACCTAGTCATCCAGGAGTTGGTGCAAGGAGTGGAAAAAGTGCACCAGCTGGGCGTATTTGGTAGGACGTCTCTTACGAGCAACTCTGTTTTCTTGAGGAATTTTTCTATCACGATCCTTTCACCTCCTGCTTGACTCTCCCAACCATTTCTTTGTAGGATGGAGCAGGAATTCTACAGGAGGCACAGCATGTCAGAGGCCAAAGATGAGAACAGTTCCTCAAAGACATCATCAGCTGCAGCTCGCAGATCCTTCTTCAGGAGGAAACACAAACACAAACGTAGTGGGTCCAAAGATGGAAAAGATTTGCTGGCCCTTGACACCATCAGCACGGACTCCTTCCCTCTCTTGGATGGCAAGTGACAACTGCATTCAGTTAAAACATGGCAGGACAACCTGTATTTGGCTGTACTTTGGTAAAGGAATAGCTACAGCTCTGGGGGACTTTTTAAGATGTTCAGTTATACGTGCATTCATACTTCAGTTTCGTTCTTAAAAGAGTTGTTCCATCCCTTAACTTTTTAAATAAGAGATTTGTGTAGGCCATAGCCATTTGTTCTAGTGAGTTTTCTACAAGTGATCTTTCATTTCCCAGCTGGCATTTTCATAGCGCTTCAGTTCCTTCTATATACTGTAGTCTCCATGAAACAGCTTAGATCAGCCTTGGTGTTTTAGAAATAGCATGCTTCATTTCACTTCCACAAGGTACTTAGCCTCACCTCATGGTTGCTTTTAATCTCCACCACTTGGCAAAAGCTGAAAGAGACTTTTCTGCTCAAGCTTTGTGTATTGCAAATGCAGGAGGCTGCAGAATGGATAAGGGAAATAGATGAAGTAAGGTGATATGGCTGCTTTGGTTCATGCTAAGAATGCATGGCTCTGTGAAGCAGTTTCATGCTTTGCTCTGGTTCCAGACCAAATAGGGCTGTAGTGGAAAGATGACACAAAACACTTTTTTTTTTTTTTTAGATTCCAGATAGGGCAGTAGCTGCATTCTCCATACCAGTCTTAAATTTTCTTGATGTTTTGCAACCAGTTTATTGATGTCAGCCTTTCTAGTCACTGTATTTATAGCAATGCTACCAATAAGACTAATGTAGGTCTTCATTGTTGGCTGTTCCAAGATGTTCTTCAAGGCAGTTTAGTAAATGCATTTTCCCCAGCCTGTTTCTCTTGTGCAGTTAGCATATTCGAAGGAGTGTGGCAGGGCACAGTACCTTGAGATAGAAGGTCTTTCCTTCCCACAGCCATATTTATTTGTATTTCTTATTTCTTTTGCTGTTGCATTAATTGTAGCAGCTCAAGGAATTTCACGTTGAGACGTTCTTCCTGAGTGTTTAGATGACTTGACCATTTAAGCCAAACATGGCACAAAACAGACTTGTGACCACCTTCTGGGAAAGGCACCTCAGAACATGTTGTATCCCCTGCTCTGGTGCTTTCTATAGGAGAAGGTGGTTTGAAGGAATCTCCGAAATGCATAACAAATGCCTTCTTCTGGAGTGTCTTTCTTGCAAATGAACCATTCATCCCACTCAACAGATTTACACCAGCCACTTTGCTGCAGCAAGAAAGCCTCTAAAGCAGTCTTTTGCAACTTTCAGATGTATGGACTTCAGCACCCAGAATTCCCCAGCTGGCTTGGCCTCTGAGAGTGGAGGCCCGTGCATTTGGAAGTGTTCTGGTCCCTCACATGTGATTTAGAATGAGATATTGGATCTGGTGATGGCAGCCGGGCTCTCCTGGCAGTGAATGCAAACATCTATGAGGCATCCTTATAGGGCAGTTTTGGTGGTGGATAATCTTATTGTTAAGAGGAGAAAGCCTTTAGTCCCAGAGCCTTCAGACAGCATTCAAATGTCCTGTAGTCTCCAGAGAGAGATGCCGTATGTTTTGGGTTGTCATGGAAATCAACTCTAAAAGAACAAGCAGACACCTCTTGGAAAATGCTGCTTTCACTTCCTTTAGCATCACAAAAGCCTCAAGGCTATTTTTAGTTTTGGAAAAAAAATGCTTGAAATTTGTATTTGTTTTACAGAACTTGTAGCCCACCCCAGTTCTGAAGGACTCTGGGTAGCTTTCTACATCAAAACAAACAAACAATTGATAATAAAAACTTAAAATCTGTGTTCAAAGTCTGACTCAAAGTGTGAGCAAGAATATCTTGCATGTAGTGTTGTGTAGATGGAAGACGCTCCCAACAGGTCGTGCCCAGAGAGACTTGGGTTTTTATCATATCGAGTGGGAGACAAGCATTATAGAATGCTTGTTTTGATTTTGTTACAATTTAAAGTAAGTAAATGTTTTATAGCAAAGGGAAGAAACTTAAGGGTTACCCGGTATTAACCAGAACTCAAAATATACTGTGGTCAATAAAATTGCCAAATTCTTTAAACCGTTCCCAAACAAATGAGAAGATTGCTAGCTTTTTGCCATTCACAGTAATGTTTTTTTTTTTTCTGCAGATAGTTCAACTTCAAATCTTTTTTTTTTTACCTAGCCAAGAAGTGTAATTGTACAGTTATTTGATGAAGACAATATATAGTTCCCTGAATTGTTCGTAATCATCCCTTTTCACACTTTCTGTTTGGGAGATTTTCAGTTCACTTGTTGAGTTTTTGGAGGGCTCATATTCACTGATTTTATGTTGTCATGGAAATTCAGATTCAGTTTTCCCATCAGGCCACGTTTCAACCACCCTTTCTAGCAAGTGCTGTTGAGTGTTGCATGACCAGGAAAAAACACAGAACCAAATGCAAGCGAAGTTGTGTTTCTTTCCAGATGCTGTAAGCCTGGCTTATCAACGAGTCCAAAAGGTAGACTGCACATCTCCTAGACCAGTGCTTATCCTGGGACCATTACCTGATGCTGTGAAAGATATGTTGGTTAAAGAATCACCAGGAAAATTTTGTAGGTGTCCTCTTGGTAAGTCCATTGCACTGGACGGCTGTCCTAGAAAAGTAAAACATAACATCCATTTATGGAAGGAGGTCCCTAAAAAATATTTGAAAAATATTTTCTCAAGCATGCCCATGTTTAATGTTTATTTATGTGACTTGGATGCCAGCTGCTTTCTCCGTTCCTCATTGGATGTCACACTATCCAAACCTTCAAACTAGGAGAGGAGAAACAGTACCACAACCATCCCTACCAAGTGGTCCTTCTTAAAATGTTGACTGTTTGGTCACCTCTTGAAGCGCTTTCTGATATTTCTAAAAAAAAAAGGATTCTTTAGCATGGAATGTTTTCTCCATTTACGTTTGTGTCTCCTCTCTTGCTGGCTCTGGCAATTCTTAACTTCTATCCATCTGACACCCCACCTCCTCCAATACTCAGGTTTTTGAAACCTAGACTGTCCATCCAGCAAGAGGAAGTGCTACCCTTCTGAAGTGGTTGACAGGATGTACTAATCTGAATGATTGTGCGCATAAAAGAAAAAGAACCTAACACATCAGGGCTTCGCCCATCTCATTTTTTTACTCTTAATTTGTATTTTCAGAGAGACTTAAGTAGGGGAATACTTTAAAAGGGAGTCTCTTTCCACTTTCGTGGCTCAGCTTCCTGCTATCTTATTCCCATTTAATTCTGCTGCATATATCAAGCTGATCATGTTTTTAAAAAAATGGAAAATCTGTTCACTTTCTCCAGCTTTTGCCCCTTGATTTAATCTACTGAAGCAGATGTTCTGTATTATTGGTGCATATTACAGTTTCCTGTCCTTTATATGCTTAAAAAAACCCAATTACAACTAATTCTCAGTTTAATTCCTTTCGAGAGGATGTCTTCCAAAAGTATAACTCCATCACGGAAGTGTTTAACAAGGTGTATTTTTAAAACACTTCCAGTATATCATATGCTTTGCCATTCTTTGGAGCTGTCTGGTTAACTGCTGCTACAATGGACTCTGCCTCCCACAAGCAACGGATCCAACATTGAATAGATTAAGATAATAACAGGTATCTTTCTCATTCTCACTCACTCACTCAAATACACACACATGCACACAGACATTTTCTCCCTTTAGCAATGCAGTATTTCTGCCTTCTTTGCCATGTTATACATTTAACTCTGATCATTCTTTTGCTCTGCAAAGTGTGCAGAGGATGGAGTTATTCCTTGAAGGCCCCAAAGAGCCTTTCAAGATCCATACCACCCAGAGTTGCACAGGGACACCTGGGTCAGAAAAATGTTTCTGCTAAATGAATGTATTTTGGCTAAAACTGAATAAACAGTTGTTTGTTTTCTTCTTTTCAAACAGAGGTGATGAAAGCTTCTCAACAAGCCATTGAGCGGGGTGTGAAAGACTGCCTATTCATAGATTATAAACGTAGGAGTGGACATTTTGATGTGACAACTGTTGCCTCAATAAAAGAGATAACCGAGAAGGTGCTTTTCTTTCCTGCCAGCCTTATCCTCTTGATAGAAAAAGGCACGCAATTGTAGTTTTCCAGCTGTAGCTAAGCAGGTTTAACCCCACAGGCTTCTTGAATAGGAGACTGGAAAACTGTCCCAAACACTTTTGAAATAGGATAGGATAGAAAGCTTAAAGAAATCGAACAAAAGCAGCTGCTTCTCAGCTGTATCGAAATGCCAGGGTTTAAAAATGGTACAGACACATTGTGGCAAGCTTCATCTGGTTTTAATCATGGTTTCTTGAACAAGCTAGAATCAACCCGTCTTGCAAATGAGCCAAGGAACAATGGTATATTTGGCCAGTTCTTGGCTTCATCTCCTTCCTTTTTTTAGAAGCTGTTGGCTTCATCTGTAAAGATGGTTACAGACTTGGGCAAGGTACAAAGCAAACCAGGAGGGAAACCACAGCCCATGCATCTTTCTTCTCTAATTATGCTAACCACGGTAGCGCCAATTACGCCAACAGTGAACTTTCAGATTGTGAAAACAAGCCATAGATTGGGTCATTGACCTTGCTTGCGCAACATGCTGAATCAGAAACAGCCCTAACCAAATGATACCTGAGCTGCCCAATATGTTCATTTCTGTTATTAGAGCATCATAGAGGCTCAGAAGACAAGCTCATGAGTTCTACATTGATCAAAACTCACATTTTTAAAACATTTGTAATAACTAGGCATTGTACACAGAACAAAATAAGAGACGTAAACCTTTTCCCGTAGGGGTGGCTGCATCAGTTCAGATGTGTTCCAATCACAACTTAAGTTAGTGGTGAAAATAATCTGTCTCTCTGTATCAAGGACCCTCCATTATCTTCCTGTCCTCTTATCACAATATGCAATTTTCTGTTGGCTCAGCCTCAGGGTTAGAAGTGAGGACAAGTTCTGTTGTAAAGCCAGATCCCTCCCTTTTGTTGTTTTAGGCATTACTGTAGACCAGTGTTGTCCAAACTTGGCCACTTTAAGATGAGTGGACTTCAACTCCCAG